CCTGGTATTTACTGTTAAAAAGATATGGCTAAAGAAAAAGTTTGGAATTTGTAAAAGTGGGTCAAACTCCAAGGTCAAATTTGGCGATACTCAAAGATAGGTCTTCTCAAAAGGAATGGACATGTGAAATATGCAAGTCATATATAGCTCCGCTAAATCAAAAGTTATGGGCAAGGTTAAAGTTTTTGCGGACAAACAGCTTAACAGACAGACAGACAGACAGACAGATGGACACGACAAAAACTATATACCCCCGAAACTACGTTACTAAAAAATATTAGTTATATATAGGAATTAAAATAAAATTCTGATATCTTTATTTTTTTTTCATTATAGTATATATATAGTAATTAGACTACCAGATTTAAGTAATTTGTTCTGCAGCTGCTCTGAATCCTCCTTGATGCAGTAAATAATTTATTGTTTTAAGTAAAACTATTAAATATAGCAATTTAAAAATATTTTAGTAATAGCTAGTAATTAGTGGTAAAATGTAAGTAAAAACCAAGTAATATGTTATTACTTACATACACAAATTTAAGTAAATATAAATTACTAAGTAAAACTTTTTTTAGAGTGTATACACCTTTAAATCTACTTATCAAAGACTAGAATTTAAAAAAAAGAAGAAACGAATTAATGAACTTAAACAATCGTCACTCTTTTTTTCAACACCCTTTAATTTTCCCTTTTATATTATCAAAACCTTTTAAAAATATTTAAAACGTCAATATCTCAGGTCCTTCAGTGACTTTATCATAAACAAGAGGCCCATGGGCCACATCGCTCACCTGAGCACTGTGGCTAGGAAAAAGTAGAAGTTAGTTTATTATCGAAAAGTTTAAATCCAAAAGTAGCCCCATGACCTATCATGGCTTTGCTGTTGTTGAGAAGATGATTTTAAAAAAAAATTCCTATATATGTCTGTATAAAAGTTTGATTGGCCAGTGTGGCTCTGTCCTACCCTCAAGGGTCATGATTTGAACAAACTTGAATCTACACTACCTGAGGATGCTTCCATATAAATATGATCAATTATGTCTTTGCTATTCTTTAGAAGAAGATTTTTAAAGAATTTTCCCATATATTTCTATGTAAAACTTTGGTCGGCCATTTTGGCCCCGCCCTACCCCCGGGGGTCATGATTTGAACAAACTTGAATCTACACTACCTGAGGATGCTTTCACCTAAGTTTCATCTTTCCCAAAAATGAATTCTACAATCAATCAGAAATTGGATAAAAAATGTTACGGACATGTGTTTTAATTAAAAGAGATGAATAAGTAAAATAATCTTATCAAGATTAAATTATTGAAACGCGTCTCTTGCTTCTTTCCGAGCACCGAGGACATTATGTATTGAAAAACCCTCGTAGTGTAGTCTACTTGTGTGCCAAGTTATATTGAAATCAGACAAAAACTATAGGAGGAATAGCATTTTGAATGTTTTTCACAGAATTTCTACTTTTAGTAACAACGGCAACACTGTTCTTTGAAATCAAAAACCGATATAAGAATTATGTATCTTAGCGTAGTCTACTTGTGTGCCAAGTTATAATAAAATAAAACTAAAACTGTGAGAGGAGTAGCATTTTGAAAGTATTTTTTTAAAATCTATTTTTAGTAACAACGGCAATATCGTTAGTCGAAATCAAAAACCGATACACTAAATTATGTACCTTAGTATAGTCCACTTATGTGCTAAGTTACAGTGTATATTGAAATCAGATCAAAACTGTAGGAGGAGTAGCATATTGAAAAATTGTTTACAGACAGACGGACAGCTAGACAGACAGACAGGCAAACAGACAGACACCATACTATCGCATAAGCTCTTTTGGTCTCTGACCAGTAGAGCTAAAAATTAAATAAATAAATAAAAATAGTATTAATAAAAAACATGCCACTACTTACCTCCATTGAACCCCCTCCCATTCAGACGCCTTTTTTGCAAAAACTCAAATGTGGGTTTGTTTGTTTGTTTTTTTTTTTTTTTTTTTTTTGTATAAAGTGGTAATTAATATACTAGTACCCCAAAAGGTTTCTGTGAGCTGTTACGTTCTTAACTTCCATTAGATTGTGTTCCCCCATACCGCATCTGTTATTTGCTTCCCTGAACATGTACTTCTCCTCCAAAAATGGCATTTGTGGATCTTCAAAAAGTAAACATATGATTATGGGACATCACCTTTTAGTTATTACACTAAAACATACATTTTACGCATTTTAAGTATGCGACATAATTATAATATTAACTGGCGGCCACCAAGTAAGATTGGTGTGGCTGCCAAGTGGTTTCCAGTGTGGACATTTGGAATCGTCGTTTTATCTTCCCTTTAGAATTTTTTTCACTCATATTGAAATTCCATCACTGTCGGTGGAGGGATGTAAATTTAGATCTATGAACGGACTTAGAGCGATGCGGGAAATTATTGTGCCCACACCTACTGCTGCAATACGTCCGGGACCTTGGTTTATATGTCTTCGGATCGGTCTCTACGTCCCTCAGTGGGATTCAAACCCCGACATAATGCTAAAAGAAACTTACTCCACGGCTTTTAGCAAACGCATGCACTAACCACTGAGCCACGCAAGTTCAACGGCAGTGGAAGATGTACGTATATCTACACAGGCTTGCTTTTTAAATCCGTGAAGAAGTCATAGATTAATATATAGGGATTGATAAATAAGGGAAAAGGAAGACAAATGTGGCGACCAAGGATAATACTCTTCCTTTCACGAGTTGTGTTCAGCTCTAAATGTTTTGCACTCGTGAAAAAAAAATCCATATATTTTTTTTTCACTTATTCATCGTGAAATTAATTCCATTTTCAAGGAAAGAAACTGGGCTTTTCTATTCAATCAAATTTGAATGATAATAAAATTTATTTTTATCCTTACCAGAACAAAACGCAGAAAATTTCATAAAGCAGTCGACATCAGCTATATTTCTATCTCTGTCAATCACGTAACAGCGCTGGACGTCTGTTTTGTTCCCTTTATTAAAATTTCTTTTGTCTTTATTATTTGGTTGAGCACCCTTCCAGTTCGTATAGTTTTGAGTCCTGTTCCACATGTCAACATACTCTCCCTCCAGTTCAACATCATTGACCCCAATCCAGTAACTGTACCCGAAAAACCTTAAAGAACATGCATACTTTGAACAAAATATCGTGAGGATATAAAAGCCTAAAAACATAATAGTATGTATATATTGAATTGGAAATCGTGAGGATATAATTAAACGAATTTCATGTTTACAGTGGTTTGTTTTCAATCCCTGTGACTTTGACAGTATTTTGTAATCTTTATCTTTAAAAAAAACCTATAAACACTGCAAATATATATAAAAAGGGGAATAAAACATTCCAGAGGAGAAATATTTTACTGAATTACCGTACCTTGTGAGCATTATTTCTGTCTCATTATCTGGAATCTCTGCGAGAATTCCACCATCTTTTTGGCATTTTTCGTGTGCCTCTTGAAATGTCCATCGTCCGTTTAGTCTCCAAAAGCATCGGTCGTTGAAGAAAAAGGTAGAATTGCTGGGACAATCATCTAAGAAATTATACAGATATTATAATTGCATTTAGAATCTGTTCAAGTCCATTCTTGGCATTTAGTTGTTTACAAAGATGAGCTTCAGCGATCATCCTGGAGTGCATATTTAAAATCACATAATCAACTTCATAATTATATAATTTTTTTACTTTTACTTTACTTTTAATTTTGTTTTTAAGGATTTTATAAAAATTGCAATTAAAGATTTTGTGTGAAATGACTTACTTTCCATGGAACGTCCAATTACTAAGACACTTAATATAAAATTTATCTGAAAATTCATCGCGCCAAATAGAATAGAATGAGCATGGCTTACTATTTGTCTGTATGTAATATAGAGCATACCAGTATGTAATTGTGCTCTAAAGAGAATTAAGTAAGAAGAATAAAATGAATATATTCTTTCTGATAAACGCAAAATCGGACTAATTATCAACCAAAAGATCAAATTCAAAGACCCAGTGGCAGTGCTTTGCATAAAAGAGCATAAAGTATAATTTAGCGGAAAAGCTAAACAATATTTTGAGGATAGAGGAGGTGTTGAACACTATACGAGTATTGGTATATTATACATGTATTTAAACATTGATTTTTTATGCCCCCGTAAACGAAGTTTCGGGGGTATATATAGTTTTTGTCGTGTCCTTCCTGTCTAGCTGTCGCTCTGTTTGTCTCTGTTTGTCAGCAAAAACTTTAACCTTGCCCATAACTTTTGGTTTAGTGGAGCTATGAGTTTCATATTTCACATGTGTATTCCTTGTGACAAGACCTTTCTCTGGGTTCCACCAAATTTGACCTTAGCCTTGGAGTTTGACCCACTTTAACACAAAAATTCCAAACTTTTACTTTGGACATAACTTTTGAACAGTAGTAACCAGGACATTTATACTTCACATATATATATTTATATTTACATATATATTGTGGCAAGACCTTTCATTGGATACCAACAACCTTGACCTTTTGACCTTGGAGATTTCTTTACTTGTGAAAAAACTTTAAACTTGGCCACAACTTTTGAACAGTAAGGGATAGGGCTTTCATACTTCACATATGTAATCCTTGTGAAAAGACCCTTCATTGGATACCAAAAACTTTGACCCTTTGACCTTGGAGTTTGATCTACATTTAAAAAGCAAACATTGACCATAATTTTAAAAGGATTATGGCTAAAGCTTTCATATTTCAAATATTGAAATATTATGACAAAGCCTTTCATCTGATAGCAAGACTTTTGACCCTTTGACCTTGGAGTTTGACCTACTTTTAAAAAAATTAACCTTGGCCATAACTTCTGAACAGTTAGGGCTAGGTCTTCCATACTTTTCATAGGTATTCTATGTGGAAAGAATACCCTCCTTTTCGTACCAATATATTAAATTTGCCTTAAAGAAAATTTTAATCTTTGCTATGTTGCCATACGGGGGCATCAGTGTTTCACAAACACATCTTGTTTCTTTTAATAAGTGTACAATCTGATAAAAGTAAAACAAATATTGAAACCCAGATTTTGCGTTATATCAGGCTATATGAAATATTCGTGTTGTGTGGCACTTCTTCAGTTTTTATCCAAGTTCAATAAGATTTAGTATGCAGAATCATTATACTACGATACATGATTATATCTTTTTCCAACAAAAGGTGTTGCCATGGTCACAGAAATTATTTCTGCGCAAGTGTTGCATTAGTAAGGGAAATTTTAAGGAAAAAAGTCTGATCTTTTGATCACTCATCAATATTTCAATAGTTCGGAGTCCTTTTTTCATATATCGCTTAATGTTCTGTCTGTAAAGAATAAACATTCATAAATATAATATAAAGTTCAACCAAACTTTTAGATAAAAATCCTTTTCCAAAACGAAAAAACTCTGTGAAAAAAGAGATGACATTTAAAATAAATAACGAGTTTTAAAGTATGTTTCTGTTTAAAACAGGATGCATTAGTGAAACACTGATATGCCCCTGTATGGCAACAAAGCGAATGTTAAACTCTCTCAAATGCAAATCAAATCAGTTGGTACCCAAAGTAAGGCCCTCCCAAAAGACATACAATTGTGAAATTTGAAAGCCCTAGGACCCTGTTCAAAAGTTATCACCAAGGTTAAGGTTTTTTAAAAGAAGGTCAAACTCCCAGGTCAAGGTCAAAGTTGTTGGTTTCTAAAGAAATGTCTAAAGAAACAAGAATTAAATACATGAAGTATGAAAGCCTTTGCTTTTACTGTTCAAAAGTTATGGCCAGGGTTAATTTTTTTAAAAGTATGTTGAACTTCTAAGTCAAGGTCAAAGTTGTTGGTATCCTAGGAAAGGTCTTGTCACAAGGGTTACATATATGAAGTATGAATGTCCTAGCTCCCACGGTTAAAAGTTATGGTCAAGGTTAAAGTTTTTTAAAAAAGGTCAATCTACCAAGGTCAAGGGGTCATGGTTGGAATTTACTGAAAGGTCTCATTCATGCAGAAAAAGTTATGACAAGGTTATAGTTTTTGCAGACAAACAAACAGACAGAGAGGGCAAAAACTAAATACCCCCAAAACTTCGATTTCATGGGCATAAAAATCATATAAATGTTCATAAAAGACCATTATATAAATGTAGAGGCAAACTCATCTTTTTATACCACCATTATCCAAGATTTTGGGGGTTCATAGTTTTTGTCCTGCCGTCTGTGTAGCTGTTTATCTGTTTGTCCAAAAAATCTTTAACCTTTCCCATAACTTTGATTGGTTAGAGCTATGGCCCTCATAAATTTCACAAGTGCATTTATTTCTCTTGACAAGACCTTTATTTTAGTATGAAGATATTAGTAGATTATCTCTTGACCTTGGAGTCTGACCCAATTCTGCCAGAATTTACCCTGAACTTTAATCTTGTCCATAACTTTTATAAAGTTGGTGCTTGGCCTTCCATACTTCACATGTGTATTCATTCAGTGATAAGTCCTTTTCATGGATTTAATTTTTTGGACCTTTTGACTTAGACCTTGGAGTTTGTTACACTTAAAAAAAAATGAACTCTGGACATTACTTTTCAATGGGAATTACTGGGGCCTTCATATTTCACAGGTGTTTCACAGGTGTATTCCAAGTGACGTACAAGTCCTTCCTTTGGATTAACAAAACTAATCTTTTGACCTTGAAGGTATACTAACTTTTGAAAATCTTGAACCTTGGCCTTTCACGGGTACCTTTAATTTGTCCCTTTGACCTTGACTCTGGAGTTTGATCCACATTTAAAAGACTTAAATCTTGGCCACAACCTTTTAATGGTTATATAGATCAAAGGTGTTGTTTTAGCCAGAGAAGAGAGTCAATGAATATAATTGTGAATTTTAAAAGCCCAAGCATCCAACCATTTAAAAGTTATGGCAAAGATTATTTCATTAAAGTGTCAATCTGCTAGGTCAAGATCAAAATTAAAAACAGGTTTTGGTGAAGGTTGAAACTTCAAGGTCAAGGGATTATGGTGTTACCGAGAATGAAGGATATGGAGATAACAAGCAGTATTCAATATCAAAGTTCATAAAATAATACAAAATATGAGTAGAGCAAGCAGGACCTCCAAAAAATCAGAGGTGGGATCAGGTGCCATGGAGAAGTGAGCATCCCCTGATGACCGGTCACAACCGCCGCGCGCTCCTTGTCATGATCGGGAAATAATGAACAAATCTGTCATCAATTCAGTGTATAAATAATGGACTAACAACAAGCATGAAAAACACCAGTTAGCATTTGACCCAATGATAAATTGTATTTGCTGACAAGGTCATTGTATCAAGAAAGAAATTGTCTCAATGAAGATAACTGTGAAATATGAAAGCCCAAACCTATGCTGACCTTGACACTTGAGTTGCATTTAAGAAACATTTAACATTTGCAAAAAGCTGCCATACAGGTCATCAGTGTTCTACAAAAACATCTTGTCTTTCCTGTTATACTTTGAGGTATACAGTAAATCACAGTTATAGCAAACACATTTATAACAAATGGACGATTAAAGCAAAGTGTTTTTCATTCCCTTTGACTTAATAAAATATTGTTAACTTGACAGATATAATGAAATATGCTTATAAGTATAGTGAATCAAAATCATCCGTCCCTGGCACTTCATTATATTACATGTGTTTTACTGCATTAGTTTACAAGATGTAACAGCCATTAGACAGTGATGGCTGGATGTAAGCTATGTTTACTTCCACCATGATAAATATTATTTTCCCTTTTATCTGGGTTAATAGCGAAGAAGAAATTATGCATATATTTATTCCTATATCTGTAATACTATACCCTGCAGATTTTGTACATTTTGAGTGAGTTTAATTTTCATCTACTCGGGTATCTGAAAAAGATAATCAATATATGAATCATACATAATTGATGAATTAAAATGAATAAACAGAATAATTCATGCTTAATTAAAATAGTAAAAAAAGAAGTTTGCAACGAGTTAAATTTCACGTTTTTATTAATTTCAGTACTAAAGTTGTTGATAACAAAACTTAATGCCGTTGCGAAAAGTTTTTACTTCATGCCATTTGAAAATGGACCCTGAATTTGTGCCAGATGGAATTGAACCATCACCAGTTTAACACTGGGCACCAGTATGACACAGTTTTAGTCCATTCATAAATAACTTGTTTCTCT